TTGCACCATGCCTTTTTTTTTTTTTGAGTTTCTTTTTCTTTTTTGAATGTAATTTTATTTATTCATTCATTTATTTTCATTTGACCAGAGAAAGACAGACACACAGAGAAAAGGAAAGTGAGACAGTAAGCCACCAGGTCTGGGATTCAAACTGTGGTAGGTCCTGTGGGAATATCCCCCGCCTTAACCACCACGCCACCTGCTGGCCCCAGTTTCTTTTTCTCTTTCTTGAGCAAGAGAGAGAGAGAGAGAGAGAGACAAGCACTGGCCCAATGGGGTCTCCATGCTGTGATCCACCACCAGCCCCAGTCAGCCCTGTCATGGGCACTCACATGGTATATGCAGGAGGGTTCCTGGATGTGAACCCAGGACCTTCCCACGCGGGTCAGCCCCAAAGAGCACTGCGTTACTGTTGCACCACCATCCCGCCCGCCGTCATTTTGCCTCCCCTCCTCCTCACCTTCTTCAGAGAAGTAAGATTTAAGAAGCAAATTCTGGACAGGGGGTGACAAGGCAAGGATGTTGAGAGCAGCGGCATCTGTCATGGCCCCTCCGAATCCTTTCAGTGTCTGGAACTTCTGTTCTGGCTTCAGAGTCAGTAGCAGTCCTGAGGACATGGCAGGGAGTGGGGTGTCAGTGTGCGGGGGAACTCCTTGGCGCTCCAGCATGATTTTGCTCCAGGAGGACCCCGCTGGCTCGGGGTGGGGCCGGAACACTTACCCGTGCCCGTGCGGTTGGCCTGCATGGTCCCCGTGCTCAGCTCCATGCGGCGCCCACTGCGTGTGCTCTCATAGCGGCTGAAGGTGCCAAGGGCAGGGAAGGTGAGGGGGTCAAGAGAGTCACAGTATGTAGCGTTGCAGACACACACCACCGAGCTGTAGCCGAAGCTTTTAGGGATGCAGGGGCGGGCACCTGGGAGGGAGAGAGACACCCCAAGACAAGGGCCAGGTCTGTTTAGAAAGGACCGAACCCTGATTTCAGATACCCCCACATCATGCCTGGTCTTGGTCACTCAAAAGGGTGTATGAGCACCTCTTACGAGTCTGCCACAGAATACCAGGAGGACAGCAAAGGACAGTGAGGCAGAAGGGAGCCCAGTGCCGTGCCTCCTCCTTGACTCACTCACCTGATGCCCACGACACCACCTGGAGGAGAAGCAATCCCACGACACTGGCAGCCATGAAGCCTGCCCTACCTCGACGCTGAGGACATTCCTGAGGACAGAATGAGGAGGAATTAGAAGACAAGCCCGTCTCCATCTTCCAGCTACTGACCTAGGCAAGGTTGGGCTGCCTGGGGGTGCCCACAGCCTAACCTCCCCCATATTAGGAATGGGTCAAGGCTCACAGGCAGCTGGGTGCAGCCTTTCCTGCAACTCCTCTGCTGTGACAGCTCTCTGCCCACCGCAGTCGGGACTCCCTCACCCATCTTTCCCCTCATTGAAATCCATACCCCTCCATCCCTCGCTCCACCGGTGCCCTGCTCAAAAGGCCAAGATGGCTGAGTTTTGAGAGCCTGTCGTTCATTGAATTCCAGAGGCTAGACGGTCAGGATTCTAGAAGCATGTGACGAGGCTGACTGGGAGACCCACGGCCCACTTACCTTTCTGGAAGGACTTGAAGGCCCCATCACCTCAGGGTGATGGATGAAGAGACTGCAGGAATCCCAGAGCCTGGAGGATAGAGGCTCTACTAAATAAAAACAACGATGCAAGAACCTGCCTACCCATCCGGGTAGCCCTGCGGGTAATTCCGGCATCCTGAATTGGGTTGGTCATGTGACGACTATGAAGGGTCATGTGACACAGGAAGTGAAGCAATTGCAGCCATATTTGTCAAGGGCGATTGGCTTCCTCCAGCCTGTTGAAATTCTACACCCTATGAAAATCTAGAAGGCAGGTGTGGATGATAATTTCAGGAAGAGCCTAGAACAAAGGTTTGCGTGGAGAACTGGATAGACATTCCTGCATCCCAGCGGATGAGGACCACAGCAGGCATATTGTGTTCTTGGAAAAAAAGATTTTTTAAAAAGGAATTATTTTACTTAACTTTATTTATTTACTTATTTTAATTTGACCAGAGAGAGACAGAATGAGAGAGAGAGAGAGAAGGAAAGTGAGAAAGCAAGCCGCCAGGTCTGGGACTCAATCCATGGTCAGCCATGTGGGAGTCCAGCACCCTCAACCACCATGCCACCTGCCAACCCCTTGAAAAAAAAATTTTTTTTTTGAAGAGGTTTTTGCTATAGGGCGTGTGTGCTCGCCAGACAGACAGAGAGAGACAGAGAGATAGAAAGCGAGAAATCACCCCCCAGGGGGGATGACCACGCTGCAATCCCTTCTCCTCCATTCTCCTCTCAGGATCTTGGGCACGCACGCACACACACACACACACACACACACGCGCCCGGTGTGAGTTTAAGCCACCGGGTCCGGGACTTGAACCACAGTTGACTACGTGGGAGTCCAGCGACATAGCCATTATGCTAACTACTGGTCCCCCCAAAAAATTTTATAGTGATGCTAATAAATTAGGTAAAACTAATAAAAAGAGGTACACTATGCAAAATACCAAGACCATACAGACGCTTTGCCCTGGAGAGGCCTGTGAGGCACAGAATCACACCCTGAGAGACCCACAGGAGCAGAAACAGGCTTGCAGGGAGAGCACTGTGAGAGGAGGGACCTTCTGGGGGTGGAGTTATCCAGGAAGGCTCCCATGGAAAAGGTGTGGGGGTGATTATCACCAGAGGAGGGCAGGAAGGGTGGGATGGCGCAGCTGAAGGCAGGGAGTGTCACTCAGCTCCTGTGGCAGGTGCCGGTTCGTGCCTCAGGGGGGGGGCGA